TTCCTGCTACCCTCTTCTTTGTTTGGGGATAGTAAAGAAAATCCATCAGCCATGGATGCACTTACTCCCTTAGGGATCAGGGTATGAACGCTGGGGAGTTGAAACCAGCTCTCCTTTCACTAAGTACAGCTACTGAATCAGCTTCCTCCTGAGAGCCTGGGACCTGCTGAAGGGAGGCTTTTAACATCTCCAGGAAGAGCACTTCTGACAAAGGCCTGAGAGGACCCTCTTTGTTAACAGAAAAGAGCTATGTGCTATGTATCCCTGTGTCAAACATAGGAGCTGACCTAAGCAGAGGGTGAATAAACAGTTCTGGATTTTGGAAAAAAGAGAATGTCTAAAAAAGGTCTTTAGGGGATACAGTAATACTAACACAACCACGACAAAAGTTGATACACTGTGTTACAACTGTATCAGAACACTGAACAAAGCCACTCAGTGTGGGATTTGTGATTATTACAATTCACAAACAAAAACACAAAGACAGTTAAGTGTCAGCACGTGGGGAGGCCTTTACCTCCCCACAGAAGTGAAGCAGCAACAATGAACACGCATTCACAAGTAAGACAAGATGAGTGAACCATGAGGTGGGTGCTAGGTCTTCTGGGGTGCCCTGCAGCCCTGCTGTCCCACTGCCCCCCAGTCTTTCACCACTTAAAAGCAAATAAACAGTACAGTACTGGAAGGCCTCAACCACAGAAGAGATCCTCTTTGTCATAAGGTCCTAAGCTTCCAAACTTTGTATGGATGTTGATGCCTTAGCAGAATAGTCTTTGCTGGTGGTATTGAGTGTGGGTATGCTCTTTAGAGCACCTATGCTATACTGCAGGATGCTCTGTGTAAACCAAACCAAAAGCTGAAAACCCTTACTTCAACAAGCTCTTCAACAGATACTTTCCCAATGAATTTCCAAGCTCATATTACACTAAGACAGAGTGAGAGTGACAAAGGAAACAATTTCACCCATATAGTTTAGCATCAGAGATCTTTTGCAGGTGTCCTGAAAGGGGAATAAGGTCATGACCTCAGGTCAAGCCAATGACCACTAGATGTTACTGTAACAGAAGGTACCTAATGACCAGGGTGAGTACATATGGCATTGGGCTCAATTCGGGGAGGACAAGGTCATTTTTCCTGAAATGAATTCTGTTCAGCATGAAAACTAAAGCTGTCAAACCTGTCTGTTCATCTAGGATCTTGTCTCAAGTTAAACTGAACTTTCTGCAGAATTGTGGGGAAAAAAAAATCTGAACTTAACTAGGTAACAAGCTAAGGAGGAAAAACCACATTCGAGTCAATGAGCCAGTCACAAACAAAGCCCACCACATTCTACAAGAAATTATTTTTGCCACTGATTTGCCCAGCAACCACATTACTGTTCTAAACACAAAAATGTTGAGAATTTTCCTTGCCCAGAAGTGTATTTTTAAGGCTAAGTGCATCTTAACATACATAATTTAGTTTGCAACAAACCACAGAAATGAAGGGAAAGCTGAAAAAAAAAATGAAAACATATATTTGCTATAATGATCTGATCAAATGCCACTAAAACACTCTGCTGAACTTTTGGAACCCTTAAAATGCTCTGCAGTCTGCTTACAAGCTAAAGGTTCCTTTTTTTTCTTTTCACTCAACTTGACCCCATCCTATCATCAACTTGACAATTTACATCACTGAATGATCTTAAATTGCAGAGGTGCTTAGAAAATGAAAACTGTATCCGGTTAGCTTTTCCCTCTGGCCGCAGTCACGGCCTTCGGAAAGCTACTGTGGACACTCAAGTGGCAGAGAGCTGCTCCTATGTGATCAGCACAGTTACAGTCTATTGTCAACACCTTCCTTGGGATCAATGTGATGATCAGCCAGATAAACTTCTAGACTTCTCTCTCACACAACAGGCAGGGCCAAGTTTCTTACGGAAAAGATTAAGCTCCACTCCACTTACCCTCCCAGCAAAGCAGCAGAGGAAGCTTGGTAGCAGGCATTAAGAGACAGAAAGAGATAAGGCCCAACTAATGCGAGCAAGAAACTCTGCTAAACAGACTAAGCTAAATTATAACTGCAAAGCCACTAGGGATCTTTAATTATTAAAAAGTAAACCGTATGCTGGAATAATAGCAGATAGCTCAGTAATCAAAAGTGGCATGAAACAGTAGTTCTTATTCTGTCTGTACTTGTCCTCCTCTGAAGATCATTTCCTAACACATATATTCTTTCCTACCGTGTGTGTGTGTGTGTGTGTGTGTGTGTGTGTGTGTGTGTGTTTGTAGAAAAGATATAGCTAAAAATACACCAACAATTAAATCCCTGTGCTTACAGACTGATTCAGGAGTCTGGAAAACAATTTTTGTTCCTTAGTTGTGGTATATATGCATACATATCACAGAGAGAACAAATCCTGGCTCTCTGGTAACTTATTTTGACAAGCCATTTATTTAGACCTTGATTTTTCTGACCATAAAAAAAGACAATCATATTTGTCATTAGATAATCAAAACAGGCTAAGAAATCCTTACGAAAAATGAAGAACCATTATTTATAATGACACTAATTGTCCTTGGCTTGACAGCTCTTACAAAAAGCATCCTATGAAAAAAGCACCCAGGAACTAGGCACATGCCCCAGAATTCAGGGAGCCGGATGGAGCCACTGATGGTGATGGTAAACAAAAGTAATTTTCCTATTCTCTGCAAAGAAAGCCAGTTGAATACATTAGAAAACACTGATCCAGGCTACCCATGTGTAAAAGTTCTATCAAAGCTTTAAAAAGTCATAAAAATTTTAAAACAATGGTATAAGAGAATTAAACCTGAACCTTAAATACTCATATGAAAAAAACCAAAGTAAGCTAAGTGTGGTTGCTCCAGTCAATCATCTCTGCACTCAGGAGGCAAAGGGGAGAGGACAAAAAAAGAGAGAGAGAAAGAAGGCAAACTTAGGCTAACCAGGCAGATCCTGCATCAAAAAGCCTAGGGGTGGGTGTGTAGTTCAGTGGTAGTTTACTTAAACTGCCCAAGGTCTTAGTAATCACTAGCACTGAAAAGAAGGGGGGAAAAGGGTGACGATTTACACTAACCAAAAGGCACATAAAGATCTACAAGTAATTAACAAAGTTATAATCGCTGGGTGGGTGTGGCAGCATATACTTTTAATCCTAGATTCAACAGAAGGCAGAAGCAGACCAATCTCTGTGAGTTCAAGCCAGACTGGTCTACATAGTGAGTTAAGAGTTACATGGTGAAACTGTCTCAAAAACTGAAAGGATGGGGTGGGGAGGTGTGTTTTGTAATTTAAAAACAATTCAGGGCCAAAATAGCAGATTACTTGTTATTGGGAAAGTTAGAAGCTAATAAGTTCTCTATTGTTTAAACTTTAATATCCACAGGATTCAAATTACGTAAGTTTGAAATTATAAGATCAACACCTCCTGGCTCTCAGTGTCACATCACGGCTCTCAGTGGTAAGGGCTATGAGCTCTCCGGTGGGTCTTCTTACTCACAGCAGGGCACTCATCTCACTCTTCTCCAGCGCACTGCAATGCCTTCCTACCATTTATTCACACCACTGTTCTTCATGCCTCCCCACCCACCAGCATTAATCCCCTGAAGTACAGACCAATTGTCACTCACCTGCTTCACAAGAAGCAGTGGCTTCAACCCTTCCCCTCTAGGTAGCTGAAGCCCCTTGCCAGCATTCAGAACTCCTTCCACAGCTTGTAGTCAAACAAATAGCATGCTACTCCACACACACACTACAGTACCCACCTTTACATTCATCTAAAGGCTCTGTTGGGCAGACTATGGATCCACCTATTCTTTCAAAGTCCCTATTACTTCCCACAAACTCACTAGTGTTTTGATCTTGGAGGAGATTTTTTAGGTGGTAAGCTGCTGACTGAGCATGTAAGAGCCCTGGAAGCAACTAGTAGAAAAGCCTGGGTTTGACATGACTAACCAGGCCCAATTCATATAACTTGTCTCCCTTTAACTCCTTCACTTGTAAAGCCTGGATGTTACACTGGATGGATTCTAAGATCCAGTCTGGACTCTATCCTGTGATCATTACACATCTTCACTGGATCATCTCCAATGAGAACTGTACAAAAATGCCCAGTGCCTTCTACTATTAAACATCTCAATTTATTTGAGCAAATAACCCAACATAACTATATATTTCAAAGCTATTTTCAAAAAATGGTTCAAAATGAAAAAGTAAACAAGCCACAAAAAAAAATCTCTGAGGATTAAGAAAAATAAACATAAGCAAAACCCAAAAATTTCTTACTCACCAAATCTCACTATAAATAACACTGCTAAATAACAACTTAAAAATGAAGGGTCTGGTGGAAATTTAGGATGCCAAATGCAGACATAAAAAACAGCAGGAATGAGTGGTAAGAATATTTTGCTTCAATTATTTTTAGGTCTCTTGTCAAAGAAAATAAACTTAGATTCAAGCTACAGTACAACAAAAAGCAAAAGCTTGAGACCTCTTCACACAAGGAAAAATGTTAGGGGCACACAAAGCATTTAGTTGGCCTGAATTAAAGCCAGAGACTGGCCTGGGTTTTTGGGCAGTGGATCCCACCTTGCACCTTAAGAGTTAAGTTTTCAAAATAGTTTTCTTTATGCCTTGCCTCAAAGCTTCAGACACACAGCTTTTTGAGCACAGACTGCACTTCAGGTCACCTGAGCCTGTGGTGTGAGCTTTCCAGATAACCAGTGCTGGGGATAATGGTGGCATGGGGGTTACAACACCAACAGCTCAGCTACTCCAGAAGCAACACTGTGCAGTTCCTAACAGTTCTGAAAAACAACCTCTTGAGGTGCTGGAGGAAAAGGGAAGAATATTTTCTAGCAAATACTAACAATTAATTGGAATAAAGTTCTCTCTCCTTTACCGCCCACACAGTCTAAATCAAAAACAAAATGAAACAAACAGGACTTTATCAAAACCAGGATGTGGCCTTTCATCATGTTTCCCCGACTCTGGCATCTTACCTGTTGATGCTTTGATCACGTAGCCCCCCTTCTCCTCACTAGGAGGCACATCAAGCAGCTGCATAATTCTGTCCAGGAGCCCATGGATGATCTCAAACCCAGGATTCTTGTTGTAATAAACAGCACAGAGATGCCTGTAGTTTTTCGCACCTACGTCTAGAAGAGCAATAAGAACTGATCATCAGGTCACAGTAACCATTATTTAAGAAAGTGGCTCATTCCAACCAAACTTAAACAAAGCCAACAAAAAGAGACAACGGATTATTTGACATGAAGAAAAGTGTTCAGCCTCAGAAATTCATGGTCAGATCAAACTTTTCAGCCACCAAATTCTAAACAAACCTTCACAATTAAACCATGGAAGGAGAGGCTAGACAGATGGCTCAGTGGTTAAGAGCACTTGTTGCTCTCACGAGGACCCACGTTTGATTCCTGGCACCCACATGGTAGCTCACAACCATCCGCAACTCAGGTTCCTGGGAATCCAACATCCTCTTCTGAACTCCAAGGACACCAGGCATGCATGTGGTGCATAAACAAAACATTTATACACATAAAATAAAATAAAATAAGTCTTTTTTTAAATGGATGAAGTAAAACAAAGGATATGAAGCTACTGCGATACGGATCAACCCTGAAGACATTATGCCAAGAGAACAAGCCTACATGATCCATTATGAGGTAATGAAGTCTTTTGTTTTTTGAGATGATTCAAAACAGGACTATGTGTACAAGGCAAGGACATTCTCCCAAGCTTACACTTCACTCACTCTCACCTCACTCACACCTCACAGTCACACTACCACAGGAACAGTGGGAGGGTGACTTTCAGGGCTGATGGGAAGCAAAGAGGAGAACTGCCACTGTTGGTCACAGGGCTGCAGCCATGTACAATGACAAAGTTCCACACCAAAAAGTGCAGTACTGCTGCTGTGTTGTGCGCTTAAAAGCTCACTAAGAAGGCAGCTTGTATGTGACTTTTAAACTACCACAATAACTTTTAAAACTGTGGGAAGAATTATGCATTGGGGAAAAAAAAGAACCTCCATGCACTGGGGGAAGAAAGACTCAAAAGAAACAGATCTACAAGTTACATTTGAATGCGCTAATTTTTTTCTACTTCTGACTATTTCAAAATCTTTCCATGATTAATATGTATTACCTTCTATAAAAGTAAGACAAACTGGGGCTGGAGAGATGGCTCAGAGGTTAAGAGCACTGGCTGCTCTTCCAGAGGTCCTGAGTTCAATTCCCAGCAACCACATGGTGGCTCACAACCATCTGGTGCCCTCTTCTGGTGTGCAGATATACATGGAAGCAGAATACTGTATGCATAATAAATAAATAAAATCTTCAAAAAAAGTAAGACAAACTAAGAGTCACAATCTGAGATGAACCCCAATGAGTAATTGGATAATAAACTAGTGTATAAAGACAGTGAGATAGCACCCACTGATAAAACCTCAGAAACTGTCAATGGTCTTAACAAGTGGACAGCACTCGGAGACAATGCATTGAGAGAGAGAATCCAGCCACAGAAGGCTGCAGGATCCATGAAAAAACAGACTTAAAGCAACCGAGACTAGACAGTAGTTATATGGAGTAAGACGTGGGGGAAATGAGACTAACGGGAAAATATGGTGGGTTTTCAAGGGGATGTTGTTTGGGATTGCAGGGTGGTGGTTTAAAAAGTACATAGGGGGCTGGAGAGATGGCTCAGAGGTTAAGAGCACTGGCTACTCTTCCAGAGGTCCTGAGTTCAATTCCCAGCAACCACATGGTAGCTCACAACTATCTATAATGAGATCTGGTGCTCTCTTCTGGCCTGTAGGCATACATGCAAGCAGAACACATGATAAATGAATACATGATAAATAAATAAGTCTTTAAAAAAAAAGAGAGAGTACATAGGAAGATTTAAAGCCAACAGCACCATTTAACTTTAAGCCTGGTATATAACTTAGGTATATACCATGACCCTTAGGCAGATCCTAGAGAGACACATATAAATAATATGTGTCTATATTATAATATAAATAATATAAATTCTGAATGCATTTGGCCTCACTGTGCTTTTTAAATTAGGAAAAAAGAAGATAATACCTGACTTTGGAGATAGTGAAAACAGGCTGTTTGTTTCCTGTTCACATGGACTGAGCAAAAGCTCTTGTGCAGCTTTTTGATAGGTAAGAGCTACTAGCCATGGCTGGCACAAACAGCCTTTTATCTTCCAGAAAGCCAGACACTGAGACAATCATGGCACTGGTAATCTTTGGCCAGGTATGGAGGGCCTATCAGCCAACCCTCGGTGCTCAAGACACTCCACAGCCAGGATTACTGCTGCTGTGGAACAGATGGGGAAGCCAAACCTCAAGGCAATTAAGTAAAGTTGCCCCAAGTCAAGCTAACTATCGAGGGCTAATCCTTATCAATTCCACAGTGATGAAGTTACAAATCGGGACTTGCTCAGGACTCACTAAAACCCACACTCTCTCCACTACCCTAAGTGTGGCATAAAGGATTTAGAAAGGAAACCATATAAGGGTAAATGCATGGCCATAACTGCTTAATACAGTCAAACATGTGCATTCTTGAAACATTTTTGGTACACTGAGCAGATGTTTTACTTCTCCAAAGTTTTCGTGATCCTTAAGCATTTCATTTAAGTCACTGAAATAAATTATTTTTTAAATCCAGAATTTGTGTCCATCAATAGTATGTTAATTTATGGAGATTATATTCTGAGTAAACTTCTGACTAAACAGGCACAGAGAAAGAACTGTTCTCACCATTTAACACTTCTTAGCACATGCTATGCTTAAGGCACTCCAGTTTTCCATAGATAGTGGAGGTCAACGCCACTACGGGGCTCACACAAACTCAACATTTATTTTCTGAATACATAACTAAAGTCTGGAAAAAGAGGCAAGCACATGGAAGTAACTCCCACACCAGGCCAGGAGCAGAGAGTGGGCCATATTCCAAGGCAGCCCGAGAGACAGCTGAGGTGACGTGGCTGCCATATTGCCACCCCTCCTTATTGTTTCCATCTTTAAGGACAAAGAACTCTGATATCTAAACTCTACAATCAAAGTTGCAAGGATAGGGATCAATATTAAAGTCAGGCAGGCATAGATGCTGGGTAACCCAGAAGCATGTATAAACCAAAATGAGAGGTCTAATTCTGTTGCAGGAACGTACACACACACACACACACACACTCTCTCTCTCTCTCTCTCTCTCTCTCTCTCTTTCTCTCTCCTCCTGAAGGGAAAAAAATTAAATGAAACAGAACTAAATTATCCCTTTCATACTACTGACTTGCTTCTGGGTATTCCTGCCATGTGGTACCCATTTGTTGGTGTCACATGCTTCCACTTTAACACACAGGCACGTATTGAAACTACTTTGTAGTTCCATATTCACTATGAGAGCAGGCCGACAGTAAGGCCACCATTCAGACAGCTTACCAATGCAAAGGAGAAGCTGCTTGATTTTGGGAACCTTTGGCATGGACCACTTTTTCCTAATCTCCAAATTATTTAAAATGAGCCTTTTTGATAACAGGTAAATATCTAGACCAAAATCATAGAATTTTTAAAGCAAGTTAAGTGCTTTGCGTGATCACAGAAAAAAAAAATTTATAGTAAACAATGTGCTGGAGATGTGGCTCCGTTGCTAGAGTGCTTGCTTGTCTAGCACTACATAACTAAGACATGGCGGCACCACAAATTCAAGGTCATCCTTGGGGACATAGTGAGTTTGAACTATCCTAAGCTATATGAAACCTTGTCTCCCAAAAACATAAAAATTAAAATTAAAGTTTATTTCTTTTAAGAAAGGTTTCAGGATGTTTACAACATGCCTGGAAAACAATAAACTAACTTCTAAGTTTAATTTTTGCAATAAGCTTAGGAAAAGTCACTGAGTTTTAGGACTAAAGTATTAACGTCATTATTTAGGTACCCGCTACCTACCCTACCACTGATTGTTTTCACATTCCTCAAAGGTGCCACCCCCTTTATATTTGTTTCCTTATTTTTCCTTAAAGCATTCCACACCCTCCATTCCTATCACCCACCTACAGAAAAATGGCTAGGTATGCTAAAATTCCCATCTCTTTGCCATCTGCACAGAGAGGCCATATTACATCACAGGAAGTACAGACTGCATGCCACAAAGTAAGAACTATTTAGATTTCATGCCAAAGCTAGGGTTTGTTGGAAATGCTTCAGTTCTTTATAACTCAGTTAACAGACCTCTTGTGTCATGCCATCAAACAATCTGCTATTTCAATGGGCCTGCCAAGTATGTCAGCCTAAATTATCCGTGTATTTCACAGACTTCAAAGTACTGCCCAGAAAGAGCGGATCTAAACCACCCAAAGGAGGGTGGCTAGATGCAGTTCTGTGAGCTCAAAGGATACAATAAATGACTTTTTTTTTTTTAGATAAGAAAGGGGGAATGGTACATGATGTCCCTAGCATGTGACTTACATTCATTTGGTATAGGCTCCCGAGCAGTACATATCCTGTTTGCACTGATGATTAAAGGGGAATTAGTGGTTTCTGGTAATGTATCAACCAGGGCACAGAGTCTTCCTTATTCTCACATGCTCCCAGAACCCTAAGTAAAGATGCTGTCAGAAAGAAAGTAGATGTGGAGAAGAAAAAAGCTTTGAGAATAATCAAGGGCTGATACAGTGCTTGAGCTAGACATTACCAGCCTCAGAAAACAAAGTAAAGAAAGAATTTACTAAATTACCAAATATTTTAATGTGTATACCTAGGGACTGGCAAATTGTACAAGGGAAGATGACACTCATTGTAAGACATACAGTCTCATAATCTACCCCTTTAACCTCACAGTAAGCAAAGTCTCTGCTTTCATAAGGGTGGATATTATGTAACTATTACAAAGGAGATTGATAGTGTGCATTCAAACAGGCTAGACCATGTACAAGCACATTTGTGTAAACTATAAAAGAATCACTGTCTCTACAGCTACGCACAGAAGTGTAAATATGGCTGCAGGTATGTACGAGGTCTGGCAATGAATTCTAGGCATGGAACAAGGGAGAAGTTGAAGAAATCCCCCCTACCCAGAGAGAGGGTTTCTCTGTATAGCTGTAGTTGTCCTGGAACTCGCTCTGTACA